CACCTCTCCCACACTGAGATGGGCATGGCGCTCACACAGCCTCAGCCTCCGGTCACGGGAGCCACTGCCCATACAAGGGAAGAGATGACAGAGGGCGAGAGCTCATCCTTAGCACCACATGACCACAAACTGCTATGTGACCACACAAATAGTCATCAGCGGGCCAAGCTGTGCTGACAGCCATTCGTTCTCTCAGCAAACACTGAGCACCTTTCCTGGTTTAACTTTCTGCTAAAGACTGGGGTCACTAAGAAGAGGATGGTCCCTCCAGCATTAGCACCTATTCCAAAATTTCTAGACATGGAATTCCTGGAGGTCTTGGTTGAGAAGCAAGCTGGCTCTGTGGTACGACAGAAACAGCTTTCAAAGAGGCAAAGCCTTGGCTTTATGGAAACCTTTTTTTGTTATCCAATTTTACCGAACCAGCCTGCAGTTTGTATTTCCTGTTTTTGTTTTCTTCAGATGCCAGAAGGCAGGCACTTCGTAACTGTTAAAGATCGTTTTCTTTTCCATGCCATGTTCAGGCATAGAGGAGTCTGGGGGATAAAAGAACAACTTCACAGCTTGAGGGTATAAAATAGACCAGTAGAATATAATGAATACTACCTGGATGTTTAGGAGCAAAGACACGCTGATCTTGTTACTTTTTAATAATTCAAGGTACCCTTACTGCTCCTACTGTGGGGACTGAGCTAATAAGGCTAATGAATACCCACCCTGCAATGGGCTAAAATTCCCATAAACTTCGTGCACCTGCATTTCTGCAAACAAATCCTACATCTGCCTTTAAAACCTATGTATGTGGGGGTGGGGTTGTATATGCAGTGTATCTGTGCTTGTGTGTGTGTGTACATGCGCGTGCACACATGCACAAAGCACCTTGTCTTAGAAGAAGGCTTATTCTTTTTCATCCTACCTTTTCCAAAGCATCAATCACTCTCCCCCCTAAATTTTATTATTTATAAAGATTCTAGATTATTAGAAATTAAAGTTTTACCTAAGCATGGAGTATTAAAATATTCTCACATCATATATTCAAAATGTGATTGTTTCAATATCCGAAGAAGTAGAAATTAGGTAAGCTTTTTTGTACTAGACACTATAGTGAATAAAACTGGGAAGAATTAGTACACAAGCATTAAACTGGGAATCCAGAGATGGAAGATTTATTGGAAGTTGAGCAGGTGTAACTGTGTACTTAATTTAATTAATACATTCTTTTAATAATCAGAAAATAACAAAGGAAAATTTTAAAAGAGAAAATGGATTTTGAGAGATATATTATGTATTTGTTTTATTCATGAGTGCTTCTAAAAAGAAAGACTAAAACCTACAATCAAGAAAATTTTATATAAAAAAATTATCTTTGACTAGAAAGAAACAGCATGTGATATGGCATGAGACTGGGTAATGGCCATACTCCAAGAACGGTCTCTTCTCTGTGTAGTAGTGTATGACAGTAGTAGCGATGCCATCTGTGTGGAACAGGGATATCCATGTGTCTGGAATGGGATAGCCTTATCCTCAGGGCTACAAACCTCAGGTGAGTTTATCTCCGGAATCCAAGGCCTCGTTCCTTCACAGGAGCTTTCTAGAACTAGATCGGAGGTAAATACTCTGGGACGACTGCCAGTTATACCAATAGCACCGGGATGACCCAAGAGAAACTCAAATTCACACTCTTGCTGTCTCCACCCACACTGGTACCCATGCCAGGAAACTGGAAAAACTCTGCTTATTTAGTCCCCAACTCTTCCAACACTGGGATGTGATCCTAGAGATTCACTGGATGTAGTTGATAGCTGCAACTTGAAAATGGACTTTATAAGGGTATCTGATTCCCTAATTATTGTATAGATTTATATTAGCCCTTAATGAGATTTTCATTTGACATCAAAGATAATCTAGTGTTCCTCTAGAAGAATAAGACTAATTATTTTAAAGGACAGAGCTATGATATCAGTTATTTAAAAATATTATAAGACTAAAAATATGACAATATTAGGACAAATAGCAAGCTCTAAAACTCTATGTACAGAAGAACATAATGTGAAATAAAAAGCATATCTTGAAACAATTCATCCTTTCACACTAGAAAACCTGATTACTCGGGGAAAATAATTCAGGTTAGAGCCTCATACTACTACCGAAACAAATTTTGATAAAATAATAGTAGCATGTGCAAATTGATGTGGGAAACAAAGGCAGAAGGAAATGGCAGACAGAACTAAATTTCCGTATAACCTGCAGCCCGTTGACAAATACCTGAGGCTGGCAGAGGAAAATGTTTCTCCAGGAACTCCTTACAGTCTTAATGCTAATGGTTTGCTGGAGGGAAAAACAACCTTAGCCTGACAATAGCTGGGCCTCCAGGATCCTGTGAGTCTTCTTTAGCGTATGAAAATCTCATAAGTCAGGCAGAGAAGGACAAATATCATATGTTTGCACGTATAGGAGGATTAGGAGGAACTTGACGGAGGAACAAGCGGGAGAAGAAGGGCGGAAATGGTGGGGGAAAGGGAGAGAGGCAAACCATGAGAGACTCTTGAATGCTGACAAAAACTGAGGACTGATGGATGTGGGGGGGAGGGGGGGATGGGCATGGAGGAGGGCACTTTGGGGATGAGCACTGAGTGTTATGTAGAAACTAATTTGACAATAAACTATTTGTAAAAAAAAAAAAAAAAAAAAAAGAAAATCTCATTGGAAACTTGGACTTTACCTCCCCCAACTCTGTAGCCTATAACCAGTCTCTCCTCATGGTCCTGGGCAGCTCCTCCTGCCCACGGGTCCTGTCCCTGTGCTTTAATAAAATCACCTTTTTGCACCAAAGACACCTTCAAGAGTTCTTTCTTGCCCGTCAGCTCTGGACCCCATAAACCCCACTATCACCCCAAAAATACCTCATCATGAGTTATCACTTAACTGCTCTCTGGAATAAGAATTAACTTCCAAGCATAAAAATAATAGGAAAAAGTGACAAAGAAAAGGATAGTTTTGACCACAGAGGATTCACAGAGGATTTTAAAGACTCTGCATATCCCCACCTTAAAAAAACTAAATAATAAATTGAAATATATGCCATAAAGTATAAATAGGTACAAAATAATGAGCTTTGAAAATCAATAAAGAGCACTATTATTTCAATATAAAAATGAGCATAGTACACAGACATTTTACATTGTCTAGTAGATGCAGGAAAATGTCTTCTACCTCAATTGAAATGAAAAAACCAAATTAAAAGAACACCAAGAAAACACTTTCCACTTTTTAAGTCAGCAAAATACTTAATGTGATTAATAACCATGTTGATGAAGTTACAGCGAGCCAGGCACTCTCCCACAGTGCTAGCCAGGGTATAAATGGGCACAGCCTGTGTGGAAAGTAATTTGGTATTTTGGCAATTTGTTCTAAGAGGCTTCTAAAACATTCATAGTTCATGTCTTTTGACATAGTAATTGTACTTCTAAGAATCTATTTTAACAAAATAATGAGATGAGCTCTAAGGTTTTGGTATACACATTGGCCCAATAAGGGTTTTCTGAATGCCTGTTCTGTGCTCGGCCCTGTGTTGGCAGTCATGGGGAAAAGACAAAACGGGCCTCCTGCTCAGTGACCATCTATTACTTTGAAAAGGATGTTTATTGTGATATTTCTAGTAGGAAAACCTTGAATCTAACTAACACACAATAAGAGAATGAGTAAACCGATTATGGGTATGTTCATAAAATGTATAAGAAGGGCAGTAAAAACAACTTTTGGGAAAATCCAAATGACAGGGGAAAATGCTTATGATAAAATGTTAAAAGTAAGAAAAAAAAACGGTGCAAAACCAAATATAAAATATTATCACAATTATGGAACAATACATATTCATAGACTAGAAGGAAATGAGCATGTGTTTGAACATGTTAACATAAGTGATCTCTGCACTTTTCTAACAGTCACAAGTCCTGGGCTCGAGCCTCAGCCCCATTGCGTATTAGTCATATATAACTTTGGGAAAGTCAGTGAAGACTCTGATTGGGAAAAATTATGTTCTAGGATGGCCGACAGGACTGATAGGGGAATTCCAGTACCCGCCAAAGATTCTCCTTCCAGATTCTTCTTCCTGCCTTGCTTGCCACTGAGCGCGTGCACACACACACACACACACACACACACACGCACGCACACACGCGCGCCAAATGACGAATGCGGAAGTAACAGACTACAAATTGTCCTCCATGCTTACGCTCGCTCACTCGCTCGGGGCTTAGACCTCTGGAGAGTGATCTCCTCTGAGCCCGCCGGTATGAAATAAACCTGCCTTCCAAGATCTCCGAGGGCCGCTTGGCTCTTCCGCCGGGTGATCCACACCAGGTTCTGTAACAACTCATAAGCCTTAATTTTCTAATTTGTAGAATTGAGCAGTAATTCAGGCCTTGACTCCTTCCCAGAATTCAAATTAGATAATGTATGAACTGCTATTTTGCAAGCTGAAAAGCTCTAAACAAATAACCCATACTATATTTTCTTAGCAGGGAAGGGTGATTATCTCTGAAATATTAACCCCTTTCTTCCACTTTTCCATGTCTTTCCTCTCCGTCAAATTCCTATGTAATACAATGCTCATTTTGGGGATGTTTCTCTTGATTTACCCCATCTGCCCCAAATCACTTATTTGAGTCTTTGCCATACTTATGTACATGACATTAATTCATACTTATTGGCCAGATATATCTCCTGTGGTGACTTCCTTTTTTTAATCTGCGGTCACTTACCAACTGGGGCTGTGTACAGTCTTTAGGAAATCATAAAACCACCATTTAGTCACTCCTGTCCTAATCTTTTGCCCAAAGGAGACAGGAACATACTGAGCTGCCGTAAAATCAACAGATCTCTTCAGGAAAACATTCCACGATTCATTCCTCTGATGGGCGACTTCCGGATCTTAAATATTATTCCCATCACCATTACGTTTTAAGTGTAAACCCTCCTCCGAGGCAAAGACCACCCACCTGATGCCTTGTGAGGCACTGTTCCCAGCAGAGGGACATTGACGGTTGGGTCTGCCATGATGCCTTTATCCAGGGAGCGTAAGGACAGGAATTCATAGAAGTATTCTGCCTACAACAAAAGACAATGACAATCAGTACCATGGGAACCACAGAGCATGAGAAGGCATTTCTTAACTGGTCATTCCTTTGATGGGAGAGTGACATTTTTCACTATAGGAACTCTAGAGCACATGAAATCTAAAAAATTGTGTAGGCATAACTCGCCCTTCTGGATTTTAGAACTCTAAGAATTAGACTGTGTTTGGAGAGAAGCGATGCTTTAAAAACATTAATGACATCTATCCAAAATATCCAGAAGGCAGCCTTTCAGCTTAATATTATTTAGTTGCTGTCTTTTAAAAGGATTGAGAAAAAGCGCTTTTAAGGAAACAAGTGATGTCCAAACAGTTAAGCAACTGTTATTCCTTAGACAATCCATCTCTGCTTCTTGGGTCATTCTTTACTTCTTTTCAAGTCTGAAGTGAGTCTTTTGATCAGAATTTGGAAAGCTGTAATATCTAAGGGAAAATGAAAGCAATAACCTCTTGGCAAAAGAAGGTATTAAAGTCCAAAATTTAATGATCTTACTGTTAAGATTTATTTCTCAGTATCATTCCCTTTGGCAGGTTTACATTTAAGGTCTCAATTTAATTATGGAGAGAAAAGTCTAAAAGTGCAAACAGCCACTGCTGCAATATGGGGACAAGCTGTAAAATTTTACATTGTAAACATTTTAATTTTCCCACTAAGTCTGGTAGAGAAGAATGACTCCTGTTCCTTGAATATCCACAAAACTCTGAAAATAGTGAAGTATGATCTCACTGGAGAGCTTGGTGCTTAACTGATTCTCAACTGGGTTATTCAAAGGATTTGTGATGGAAACAATGTATTCTTGCTTGAGATTAAAGAACAATCAGTAAATAATATAGAGTCCAAAACGAAAGGCAAGCTGAGTGGTTCTGCAGTTATCTGTAGAGATATACAGAATTTGGATGGGTTCATTAACTAAATTATTAATTACATGAATATGGGTTACAAAGAGATTTAGAAAAGAATATGGCCTTTCTTTATATTCAGTATAAAATTTATTTCCCAGTATGGAGGGTATTAAGAGCTACCTGGCAGACATTCACACAACGTTTTGCCCGAAGTCTTAGTATCAGTGTATTAGGTGGTAAGGACTTTGTAGGAGGATGATAATGCAAAGGGGTGATCTCAGCTGCGATGGGGACACTGAAATGTGGAAAACGCTTCCTGCTTTCCCTGGGCCAAAAGAAGCACCTTCGCTGACTAAAATTCCCACTGTGGCCCCTTCTTTGGGTAGTGGCAGTGTTCCAGAAGACCACCAGGAAGAGGCTTTGGCAACAAAGTTTCATGAATTAATTTTATTAAATTCATTCACCAGGAGTGCCCTGAGGATAGAGTCAATTCCAACCCTGTTTGAGGAAAGGCAGAGGACGGCAAGAAGTCTGATGAAAGAAAGAAGTGTCATCAGAAAGGTAATTCCATTTGGAATGAATTCCTTTGAACAAGTGAATGTTATTTCCGACCCTGTGGTAAAACTGACAACTATTAAAAGTGTGCTCCTTCTTAGAGAGTGTTTCATGAATCCAGGTGTTTTAGATGACCTCTACAAGCTGCACTTCCCTCTACGCTTTACTGGATAACGTTTGTCATTTAACATTTTGTTCTAAAATATATCTTGGTTGGCATTATGAAAGGATTTAGTGACGCCTGCCCTTATAATTCATAACTTTAGGTTATTTGTATTATGGAGTACAGTGATAACTAGGAACAATAACGTAACAAATGCCTGTGTAATGCACATGACGGCCCAACATTTATTTTGAACATCTGTAGTAACAGTACATATAATGATGAAAGGAGCTGAGTGGACAGAAAACAAGCATGTTGAAAATAAAACGTTTCAGTGGCTAGACTGCTTCAAATACCATTTCATAAGTTGTCATTTGCTCCTCATAAATTCTGTCTTTGAGTTCCATCACATTATAAATGATATCCACGTCTAGGTGGGTGATATACTTTAAAAGGGAATTCATAAAAATATAATGAAAAATAAGTTAACTTTTTTTTTTGTTGCTAAGAAAAAGGAAAGACCAGCATCAATATTAAAACAATGATTGTGTATGGTTGATACTAACTGATCCCTTTCACTCTTTTCCAAATTTTCTCTATGGGCTTCCATGCTTTTTATAGTGAACTAAATCCATTTATTTAAAAACAAGCATTTATTAATGTATCCTGCTTTCAGTTCTGTGTGGATGATGATAATCATTGGCTCTGTTTGAACAATTCTCTGATCACGGGTGAAACATTCTTCTTGGACTTCTACTTAGGCTGTGCTCATGTAACAATTTGATTCAAATCTCTTCCTTGAGTCCTTGCTTTAAGAAAACAACATTTAGTAAGAAAGTAGCTTCTGAACGTGTCTTTCAAAGACTTTTGATGATGTTCAAAGAATGTGGAACTTGAAGGAGTTTCACTCAGGGTTCAGAAATAATTCCATAGAGCCTCTGATTCTCTTGTTGTTGCTTTTGAGTTTGGCCACATTAAGTAGGCTGGCAAAATTAGTTTGGAATTAGCATTGGCATGACGGTTCAGTATGCTGTTTAATGGATTTGTCTGGACAGCCAACATTCTCATCAATAACGAATTTCACACTAGCGGTTTTAGGGTGTCCCTTTGGTTTCTCTAAGAATCAGTGAATATCAGTTTTTCTACTGCAATTCTAAGACTATTTCATAAGGTAGGGATTGGTCAAAACACTTTCTTGCTTGGGTTTTATTGGCAACAGGCAGTTTCTAGAGAAAACTTTTTTCGTTCGTCTTTCTGAAAATGATAATGATGCTGTAATTTCTGAAATATATAATCTCCTTCATACTTGGTACATATTTTTTTTAAAGGGGCTTGCCTAGCTACTGTTTTCATTGCCTTCTTAAAAATCCTAACGTGGGAACTACTTAGAAATTGACCAACCTGGTACGCCTAAGTGGCTCAGTCGGTTAAGCATCCGACTTCGGCTGAGGTCATGATCTCATGGTTCAGGGGTTCAAGCCCCATGTCAGGCTCTATGCTGATAGTTCAGAGCCCAGAGCCTGCTTTAGATTCTGTGTCTTCCTCTCTCTCAAAAATAAATAAACATTAAAAAAAAAGCTCCACAGTTGCACAATAAAAAAAGAAAAAAGAAAGAAATTGACTAACGCTTTGTCTCTGATCTTGACACTGACTCCTTTCAAAGTTTCACTTTGTCATTATAAATGGATCTACCCAAGCCACCAGTACCATATAAATATTTCTACAAACAAATTATCATCACCATGTGGTAGAGATGACATATATTCCTCCTTTAACTTAAGTATTAAATTAAATAGCTAAAATATTTCCCTCAAAGTTAAAGAAAATGGCTGATGAAATAAGCGATAGATTTATAATGTCATATTTTAAGTTCTAGACAGGACTTTCTGTTTTTACTTTATTTATAATATAATAAACAGTCTTAGTCCCAAACCTCTCCACTGGAAAAACTTATTTGGGGGCAAATAAAACTTACATTCTATGCCAAAGAACAGCGAGCTCACTTTAAAGTTTGGGAGCAAGTTTCAGAGATTGTAGATTTATTACTTAGATAAAAGGAACGCAGAGCATGGACTGTAATAGGGAGGCGGCATATTGGAGAGCATGAAACATCTATTAGGGAAAAGTACATTTTGTCTTATAAATGACACCAGTGGAAACTCAGGTAGAGGTAAGTAGGGTACTTATTTGAGAACACATGAAAAGATTGCCTTGTATTCAAAGAATGGGCCTATTCAGGAGAATAATTCACTTCTAAATTAAGTTGCTGAAAAATCTTGCTGGCCTGGTTTGCCATGCAGTAAATTTTCTTTTCATGGAGAAGTATAAAAGACACCCAAATATTATCAAGAGAGGAGTTGAGTGCCGGAGGCCATTTAACTTGCTTCCAAGCAACTTGGCTGACTATTAACGTTCTTCCTTCCAGAACAGATGAAGACATCATTTAAGCAGCAAAATGGAATGACTCAGAAGGCCTTCACTCTGGCACTCTTTCTTGGGTAGACACAGAGAAAGGAAGTAGAGAACTATATTAACCATTGGGAGGAACAGAGAGAATGCAGTATTTCTTTTCAATCTTTGAAGTTCTGGGTTTGTGGTGCACACTTAATCTAATAAGCACAATAATTACAGGAACCTCCAAGTTAAGAATCAAAGGTTTTTCATAAAACCATGGCTCTGAAACCTCTTTTGACTTCATGTATCATGATGTCGACCTAAGTGTTCATGAGAGAACACTAAAGCAAGAATGGGATCACAGTTATCCTAAAAAAAGCTCAGGAGATTTATAGATACAAAGCATACAGATGCTGTAAAGTTTGAAATCTACAAGTAATTTTTGTTGAGTGTTTACTAAACTCCAGTCATTGTTCACCGAATTCTCATAAGAATCTGGTATTATTATAGCATGCATGTCTGTTCAGATTAGCCAGGCATTCACTGTGAGAATTACTAGAAGGATTTTAAATAGTGCCTACACTGTATGTGAGGGGCAGGAAGAAATCTACAAGAAAGGAAAATAGCTCAATGTTAAAGTCCCAAACAAAATGAATAAACATGCCCAATGCTTAAAATAATCTGACGCCTGAATGTCTAGACCAAAAATTGCCAGATCTCACATTCTTCCTGAGCATTCTTCTTGTCACCTCCCTGCAAAATTTCATTCTCCAGATTCACCACTCGTGATCCTTGGACGCTATAACACTCTGCTGATTTTTCTCCCATGCCTTGATTTTCCTGCATTTCCTTATTAACTCTTCTCTTCTCAACTCACAACTGTAACAAAGTGCTAAGACTCAGGCCTCAGCTCTTCTCTCTTTATATTCTATCATAAACTCACGCACATTCACAAATTGAGCTATTTCCTTTTGGGCAACGATGCTCGGCATGAACCATTCACACTGCCTCATGGCCATGCTTGTGTGCACGAAGCTTAAGTCATTTATTTTCCCAAACCAGCTTCCTCACTCAATGTCT